AGTTTTATTTTTTTGGAGTATCCCAAGGCTCACCCTCACCCCATCCAAGTTTTAATCATCAAAAATAAACTGCAAAAAGACAAGTACAGCTTGTATCCTGACTTGAGTGACTGTGAATTGCTGTGTGCCTATTGGGGAATAGAACATAGGACAAGCAGCAAGACCAGTCCATGGTCTATGCTACACCATCAATGGTCAGCCTGGGACTTCAAGCAGACCTTTGCTCTCATGTAAAAAGTGTGAAAACATGAAATAAAAATATCTTCCATTTGGATGATGATCACTTTGCAATCAAAAAGTCTCTACTAGTAATGAGCTATTGCCCTGGGTTCAGTTGGAGCAGGATTTGGTAAACTTCAAAGAAGTTCAGATGCCAAACCCGAACCCCATTGAAGTCAATAGGAGCCAAATCTGTCAAATTGTTTTCACCAATCCAATTACTGATTAATGGCTAATTGAAAGAAAGTAACCTTTTTGCTGTCTTTACAGCATTGCCTTTTGTGACCAAATCAGTATAATAAGTACAGTAGGGTTTAGAATCTATCTGTAAAGGTGTCTTTAGTTTGTTCTTGAACAATAGTGGGTTTTCTGGTTTACTTTTTGAATTATCCATTTACCTCTCGATATATAATTGATAAAAACAAGCAGGTGCTTAGCTCTCTTCTTTCCTTCCCCCCACACTGTGAAAGTTGTGTTGGGAAAAGCTAACTTTTTTGTCCAGTTTTAAATGGTGTCGCTGGTAGGGAGATTTCCTCTCACCTGATGCCTCAGTTGTAGTGCTCAGCTGGACAGGAAGTCAAGGGAAATTTCCACAACAGTGACCCAAATAGGAATAAACATGTTAAACTGACCATACAAAACACAATAAATTGTATAATCTCCTTTAGATTTACTAATAACTATGTTACTAGGTGGCCTACCTGGGTAGATGTGAAGGAGACCAATCTACGTCAGACTGAAACAACCATCCTGAAAAGTGAAGTGGTAGCCTTTAACCACTTGAGCTGCAGAGGATTTACCCCCCTTAATGACCAGGCCTCTTTTTGCTACTCGGCGCTGCACTAATTCAACTGATAATTGCGCGGTCATGCAATGCTGCACCCAAACTAAATTTACGTCCTTTTTTTCACACAAATAGAGCTTTCTTTCGGTGGTATTTGATCATCTGTGCGCTTTTTATTTTTCACGCTATAAACATAAAAAGGCCAAAAATTTTGAAGAAAAACAATATTTTTTACTTTCAGCTATAAAAAATATATAGTAAACTCAAAGTTGGTTATAAATTTAGGCCAAAATGTATTCTGCTACATGTTTTTGGTAAAAAAAATCCCAATGAGTGTATATTGATTGCTTTGTGTGAAGTTATAGTGTTTACAAACTATGGTATAAATACTGCAACTTACGCCATTTTTCTGCTATACAGCGCTGCGCTAGTTTAACGGATAATTGCGCGGTCATGCAATACGGTACATAAATGAAATTTACATCCTTTTTTCCCCCACAAATAGAGCTTTCCTTTGGTGGTATTTGATCGCCTGTGCGGTTTTTATTTTTTGCGCTATAAAAAAAAAAAGGCTGTCAATTTTGAGGGAAAAAAAACAATATTTTGGACTTTTTGCTATAAAACATGTCCAGTAAAAAAAAATGCAAAAATCAAATTTAGTCATAAATTTCTGCCAAAATGCATTCTGCGACATGTCTTTGCTAAAAAAAAAAAACCCAATACGTGTAAATTAATTGGTCTACGTGAAAGTTATAGCGTTTACAAATGGCGGGAAAGATACTGGGATTTTTAGGTTTTTTTTATACTAATAATGGCGGCCGGTGATCAGCGAATTATGGCGGCAATCAGGGACTTATGGTAGCGACCAGCGACTTATGGTGGGACTGCGGGACTGTGGCAGACATTCTGACATTGGGGGGTACTGACTTGGGGTCACTGACATCCCCAAAAACACTAATACAGTGATCAGTGCAAAAAAAAAAAAACTGACACTGTACTAATGGCAATGGGGAAGAAGGGGTTAACTTTATTTTGCAGGGAAGGGTTATAGGAGTGAGGGGAGTGTTTTACTAGGGGACGGGGGTGTGTGCTGGACGGGACAAGGCTGATCGAGAAAGAGAAACTGTTCTTTCTCGATCAGCTCATCCTCGAGCTGACAGGGAAGTGACAGACAGCACAGCTACTGCAGCTGTGCTGTCTGTCACTGTTTGCCGCCAATCGCCAGAACATAGCCGCTAACGAGCGGCTGTGACCCAGCGACTGACATCTGTGGCGGTGATCCGCGGGACAGATAGGGCGGCGGCGCGCCTCGTGCGCACCCCCTATTTGTTTACAAAACAAGCGTCTTAAAACGTGGTTTTGCCTGCGAGTGCCGCCCTGCCGCCGTATATGTACAGTGGCTGGGCGGCATGTAGTTAACACCATCTGTCATCCACTTACAATGCTGTTTTATTATTTCTACCCTGAAGAATTGACATAAATTCACTCATTCACTCAAACTATGTACACTTCCCCTAAACACAGTCACACCATAGTTATAAAATAATGTAAGTTAGAACAGGGTCATTTCAGTCATTTTCACTTCTGTCATGTTCTTGGACAATTGGCATCTTCCTTGACATATTCTAGCTGACTGGATTAAGGTGACAGGGTAACCTGTACTTCTGTATAAATGCCAGGGTATAGTCCCAACACTCATGGATGATGTTGAAATGTCTTCAGAACAAGTAAGGCTGAAAATGACCAACTACTGCTAACTGTACCAGAGTGGATATGAATTGATGATTTATGAATAGCTGTTTGTAAAATTGAAGTAGATAGTACAGAGGTCCTACTGTCAGATTATAATGTACATGGCAATATTCACAGAATTTTTAAACTTTATTCTATCCAAAGCAAACCACACAAGACATTTTGGTTACAGAAAAGAAAAAAAAAACTATATTCTCTACATGTCTTGCATTAATATGTGGGGGGTCTAATGTTATGGTGACAGCTGTTGTAAAGAGGATCAACCCTCTTCAACTCCCAAAACTACAAAAAAAACCCAACGAAAAACAAAATAAAAGCATTGGCTTTAAATATATTTTAAATAGTTTAATGTGTTGGCAGATCACAAGGCAGTCATCTGAATCTCTGTTATCAAAGCATGATGACTTGAGTCACAATGTATTAATATTGGGTGACCTGCTAATGAAGTCATATTAATATTAATCAAAGTTTAATTTATCCCATGCATCCGAAGATAGGGGCACACTGGAAGATCGCTGTAGTAGAGATAACAACATTACAGAATGGAGCCCAGATCCCATAAACTCTACCATGTACACGGCTTTCACTCCGGGGATTTTCTAGATGCGTACTACTCTAGTAAACCAGAAATGCCCTTTACTCATGAGACATTGAGGTATCCTATGGAGAAATTTCACACTGCATTTTGCACAGGTAGGTGAAGCTTTTTTTGAATAATACATTGTTAAAGTTAAATGAAGCATAAACTATTGATTTACAGAGTGATCTTGTTCCAGTAAAGAAATTACTGAAATGAAGAACAAAAGCGCACCAACCTTGCGCATTACCTCAGTAAGAAAATGGTGAATTTATTGAATTGAGATATACACTCACAAATGTAGCAATAATTAAGGCATATAAAATCTAACATCAAAGCACTGGAATAGGAGACACGTGTGAATCCCATCGAGAGGGGAGACTCTCAGGATGAAGCTGATGCGTTTCAAAGGGGGATCCCTTCTTCCTCAGAGCACAGGTTTTATTGGGCTTCCCCAACCTTGTGATAGAGCTGCACAACCTTTGATCGGTTATTGGATGAACTTTCATATATTGTTCCACTTTCCGATTTCTGATCTGGGTCTCTGAGCGCAGGAGGCGTTGTATTTGTTTCCACGAAGAAATGACTGAAACAGAGAATAAAAGAGTAAAAGAACATACATAATGAGGCTTAAACATTAGATAATACACTCATATGTGTTAAAAGGTCATCCAATTCAGCTATAGGGGGTCCAGTTGTCTGACTAGACCCATGTTTTTTTTACTATGTGTTGAATACTCCAACAATGAAACATCCCTGCCATAATTCTCAGCCTGGCTATGTGCTCCTGGAAGATTTAGCTGCCCTCACTCACCTCTGTGTGTTCCAGCCCTTCCTATCACATTCTCTATAATATAAAACAAATTATATTGTAAGAGATGAAGGTAGCCCCTCATAATGGATCCATGAACGCAACACAAGTGTGATGGTAACCCCTCATAATAGGCATAGCAGGTGTGCAGACCCAGGCCTACTTGTAGGGACAATGGGAGCCCCTAATAATGGGCACAGAAGAGGTGCAGAGCCGGAATCACAGCATAGAGATCTCATTAATAGAATCCTGAATAGAGAGAAGAAGCAGGTAGGTGGTTTAACTCAGCAACTATCAACAACTGAAATATCAGTTTTGAATTAACTGACCCTTTAATGATATCCCAATTCCTTGCTTAGTTTATATTGATAGTGTAGCATAATTTTTAGAACATGTTATAGTTGATGAATATTTGATGTTATAGGATTTGTGTGAACAATATTTAACCAGCTGCCGACCGCAGATAGCCGAATGACGGCTTCACTGCGGCCGGCCAGTTCTGGGTGGACGTCATATGACGTCCTCCCAGAACGCGCTCTCCTGTGCGCCCCAGGGGGCGCGCACCCGGCGATCTCCGTGATCGCTGTGTCCTACGGACACAGCTGATCACGTGATGTGGTAAAAGGCCAATCACAGCGGCCTTTTACCACCTGATCAGCGGTGTCCAATGACACGCTGATCAGAGGGAAATGCAAGTGCCGGTTGTCGGCTGCACTTTCCTCACGCTGTCAGATCGTGAGGAAAGTACTGCCGAGAACCGGCAGTTGTCAGAGCGGGGATCGGCACCGATCATCAGGGCACTGATGATCAGTGCCCTGATGATCGGTGCCCAGCAGTGCCACCCGCAAGTTCCGCCCAGCAGTGCGCCCACTAGCTCCGCCCACCCGTGCCCAGCAGTGCACCCACCTGTGCCCAGCAGTGCACCCACCTGTGCCACTCTGCAGTGCCACCTACCTGTGCCCAGAAGTGCCACCTACATGTGCCCAGCAGTGCCACCCACCTGTGCCCACCCATATGTGCCCATTAGTGCCACCTACCTGTGCCCACCCACCAGTGCCACCCACCAGTGCAGCCCAGCAGTGCTGCCAGTCAGTGCTCAGGGGTTGTGCCAGTCAGTGCCGCCAGTCAGTGCCCAGCAGTGATGCCAGTCAGTGCCGTCTATCAGTACCCATCATCAGTGTCACCTATCAGTGCCGCCTATCAGTGCTGCATATTAGTGCCGCCTATCCGTGACCCCTAATTAGTGCTGTCTATCAGTGCCGCCTATCCGTGCCACCTCATTAGTACTGCCTATCAGTGCCCTTTAGTGCTGCCTATCAGTGCCCATCAGTGCCGCCTATCAGTGCCCATCAGTGCTGCCTCATCAATGCACATCAGTGAAGGAGAAAAAATACCTGTTTGAAAAATTTTATAAAAGAAACAAATAAACTTTTTTTTTTTTTTTTTCACATTTTTTTCACTTTTTTTATTTATAGCGCAAAAAGTAAAGCGCCCAGTGGCGATTAAATACCACCAAAAGAAAGCTCTATTTGTGAGAAAAAAATGATCAAAATTTCATATGGGTACAATGTTGCATGACCGCGCAATTGTCAATCAAAGTGTGGCAGCGCTGAAAGCTGAAAATTGGCCTGGTAAAGAAGGGGGTATAAGTGCCTGGTAGGCAAGAGGTTAATGGACAGTTACTGTAGGCAAGATACTGTGTCATTATTGCTGGCAATTTAGCATAATCAGGTGGAGCTCGGTTGTGCAGCTCTGAATTCAAATACATTGCATAGAGACTATACCACAGTTGTCTTTGAAGGTTGTTTTGAATCTTTTGCTGCAGGTGACTATAAAGGAGACGTGTTGATTGACATCAGCATTGGTCCCATCTTTCACCATCTCTATTCGGCGCAGAATAATTTCAAAGATATTATCCTTCTCAAGGCTACTGACCACTGTATTGTAGAAGTGAAAAAATGGATGAACAGCCGAACCGGAGCATTTGATTGGTCGCACACCTGTACACTTGCTACAGAAATGGCAGGAAAGAGGTGAAGTATCTGCCAATTTTTATTTTTAAAACTTTTTTCTTTCTTTGTAAGAGTCTTCAGCTTTTGAGAATATTTCTAAATCAGTTGGAAATATTAGCAGAAAATAAAAAAGGATGTTCATAATGCCGGAATACTTCACTAACATCAAACATAAACGATAGGAGTAAGGAGAGGGAGAGGATAGGTTAGGCTGAATTCCTGAAGTGATGATCCAGTAGTATTGGGATTGGGGCCAGAAAATATTTTTAAAACTTTTTTTTGTTAGCAGTTTCAGCTTGGAAGAAGATTTGTAGATCAGTTGGTAATATCAAGTGGAAATTGTCTGGACCTGGATCAACTGCTGATGGCACTGTGGATCCCAGAGCAATAGGTTGTAGTTCCGGTGTCCACTAGCGGTTATCTCCCAGCAGCCAGCAGAATCCAGTAACCAGTCTCTGCTTAATGCTGGCTGCTGGGAAGGTATTTAGTCCCTCCTCTACTATTACCCTGTGCTTCAGTGTTTTGCCCTGCTAGTTGTTTATTCTCAAGCCTGATTCTGCTGCTGCCTTTTATGTGTACCTTGTACCCGCTCCCTCATATCTTCTCCCCTTGTTCTTTATCCAAGTCCTGTTTCACTATTGATAAACTTACTTAAATCATATATAGTCTGGTTTCAGTTTCCATAGTGTAGCTACACAGATCTGGTCATCCCTGCTTCTAGATGCTTGTTCTTGGTACCCCTGACAGAAACAAAAAAGAATTCCTTAACACTTCACTAACATCAAATTATAATAATGCAAGAAGAATCTTTTTGGCTCATAGCATGTGATCTCTAGCAAAAGAGGTGGTGGAGAGGGGAGAAAACAAGATAAAAGGGACTTGGAAAAGAGCAGATAGAGAAGCAAACAGAGAATAGGCCAAGACAGAAGATAAATAGCTGAGGATATGGGAGAGGACAAGATAGAAGAAGAGAGAGAATTGGAGGAGAGGAAGTGTAACATACCTGGTGATGGAGCATGAAGTGCCGGGGAAAGCCTCTCTTACAGCTATGGCTCGGGAGCCCTGGTAAGTCTCTCACTGGCAGGTGTTGCTGTGCATCTGGAATGCAGAGATGACCAGACTGGATTCCACAGGCTGAAGGGCTGGAGCCAGGGAATAATGCAGACTGGATTGGCACAGGAGCAGGATGGCAGCAAGACGTAGTCAGATAGTCTGGGTTGGCAATTGGCGGGCAGATCAGGTTCAGACAGCAGGCAGGAGAGCAGTCAGGAGACAGTCCAATATCTTTAACAGCGGGATGGGTATACAGAAGGAGCAGGCTGAGCATAGTCCAGAGACAAGCCAGGGTTCAGTACAGGCAGCATTACAGCAGAGTCAGAGGCAGATCAAGTTGGCCCCTTCAGTCTCCTCTCACATTACTAACCTACTAAATGACATATCGGCATGGATATCATTCCACTTCCTCAAAGTAAATCTTTCCAAAAGTGAGCTCTTACTATTCCCTCCAGCCCGCGCCCCCTCCCCTGACTTCTCCATCAAGATCAATAGTACAACCATCAGTCCCTCCCCTCATGCCAGGGTACTAGGTGTAATCCTAGACTCCCATCTGTCCTTTCAACCCCAAATCCAATCACTGTCCAAATCTTGTAGACTTCACCTCCACAACATCTCCAAGATACGCCCGTTCCTAACCTCTGAAACCACTAAGCAACTTATTCACTCCCTGGTTATCTCTCGCCTTGACTATTGTAACTCCCTCTTCATTGGCCTACCTCATTGCAGGCTATCCCCCCTTCAGTCTATCATTAATGCTGCTGCCAGACTCATCCACCTTACTAACTGTTCTGTATCTGCCACCCCTCTCTGCCAATCCCTCCACTGGCTTCCCATTGCCCAATGAATAAAATTCAAAACATATAAAGCCATTTATAACTCTTATTATTATGGTTATACCCTTGGAGGGGAGTGAAAAAAATAGAGGGGAGAAGGATAGTTTCTGTATAAAAAAAAAATATCCAATTGCTCCCTATGGAAATAATTCCATTCTTCCTTTCTCCTGTCTTAAGTAGTTATACTGCAAATAGCCATCTACAGCTCAGAAATATTAGCAGTATTCACGAGCTCATATCTAATATATTCACAGAATATCAGTTGAATGTTGTAGGTGTAGCAATTCCCCTTTAGGGATTGCTGATGAATTTGGGTCCCCCTATAGTCCTGCACAGCCAGTCAATTAGCATTTTCACATAGCTTTTCATCCACAGACAGAAATCAGGCCTTGAGCGTTGGGTTTGTTGTTTTATTAAGGGGAATAAACTTGGATAGGGTAAAGGGGTTTATATGATGTCCAAGGGAACTGAAATCTGAGGACAACGTTATGAACTATTCACAGCTTCTTCTCTCTGACATACAGTCTCTGTTGGAGTGCTTTCCAGCAGTTTCAGTGGTACCAACCCAAACTCTAGATAACTCCTCTTCTCCCAGCCATCTGAAGGTGTTCCGCCTGAGCAGGGGATCTGGACAGTAAATAGCAAAGTGCTAATCTGGTTTCCTACCGGAGTGCTCCTTCCCCTATCCACCCAGGGGGTGCAGGTGTACTCACTCAGATCCTCTCCCGGACAGCTTGTGGAATGGCTGCTGCTAACAGGCCTATCAACTGACTCCTTCCTTGCCACACAGTTGGTCCTCTCTCAGGGGACCAATGAGTCCTGAGGTTTCCTCCTTTCCAGCTCCAGGCTTCCAGGCAGGCCCCATCCCAGCAGACCTCCGGGCAGCCTTCTTCCTCCAGCCGCACATCCTCCTGCTTCTCACTCCTCTCCCACCACCACTCTCCAACTCCTGCTACTGAGTAGAGGCTAATGCCTTTTTAAGGAGTCCAGCCCCTTGCCAAGCCTCCTGTTGGGGATTGGCAGAGGTCCCTCAAAGATGCATCCAACCACTCCTCAAATCCACCCACTGCCTCCAAGGCCCTCCTCTGAAAGCTCCAGAGCAGGGGGAAATTCCAGAGGGGCTGGCCTTCAGAGTCTCTCAGTCATGACCCCAATTTGACTCCTCTGGCCATTACACCTGAGCTGCTATCCAGCTCCTGTCTAACCATTAGGGATCTAGCTCCACCTAGTGTAACTAGGAGTGTGCTGCATAGGTGACATGAAATGTGCTTCTCCTTTCAGTACCGAGCATGAAGACAAGGCCATTGGAATCAGAGCAGCAATTACACATGTTGTAAAATTCGATCTTAGAAAGGAAAATCTCACAGACCCAGTTGTGCTACCACAAGCCGACTGCCTGGTGTTGAGGTGTATTCTGGAAATCATCAGCAAAGACCTTGAAGATTTTGTGAGAAACTTCAGGAGATTTTCAAAACTCTTGAAATCTGGCGGGCACTTGATGTATTATGGAACTTTAAATGGCACATTCTATTCGGTTGGGGGAGAGAGGTTCCATATGTTAAAGTATAATGGAAGTGACTTGAGAAGTATGCTCAGTAATGAGGGGTTCATTATCACCCATTCGGAGGTTTCCCAAAGAAAGGCTGAGACTGATCTAGTGGATTTCGATTCAGTTGTGTTCTGCACAGCTTATAAAGAATAGGAATTTTAAGCCCCATTCATGCCATTGTGTTAGAAAGTTCACATGTATTTTAATCAAAAAGTAGAATGATTGTTTAGTGCAATTTTATTGTATAATGTTACAATGTAATCCAAGGCAAAATGTGGGCTACATGCACTCTGAGTGCGTTTTATATGCATTTTCTTCCTGGAAAATGTACCATGTGACTTTAAATATGAATATTGTGTTTTAGTGAATGTTCAGTGCGTTTTCCATGAGCCGCCATTGACTATAATGTAATGTGCATTTTTACCAAAAAAAACTCACAAAAGATGCAGAAAGCAAGATTCGTCAAAAACATAATGCACTGCCCTCTAACTCAACACATTCATTTGAACAGCTTTGTAGACTTTAATCACAAGTAGACTTTTCATGCACTATTTTTGGTGTGAACCTATCCTTAGTCATAGCTATCTGTTGGATTCTGCCATAGTTCATTAAAAGTGTATTTGATGGACTGTGGCAGAATCCATCAGAAAGCTATGACTAAGGCCGTTTAGGCTGAAACATGTCAGCTTTTCCTACTTGAAGTGGGTTGGCAGAAGCTTGGAGTTGGGCTCTGGAGCTCCAGAGTCTGCTTCATTGTTAT